ACTAGGAAATGAGGTATAATATTTGACATAATATTTCATAGCGGGGAAGTTAATTTGTTCGGAAAATGTACAAGTTTTTGTTTCTTTCTGTACTATTAGCTATATTTTATACTAATAACATTAAAAATAAATAAACCAAACCACAGATATTCATAAAAGTAGAAAATAAAAAAAAGTTAAAAATATGCAAAAAATTAAAGAGCAAACCACTGACGCATTGTTTTGTGTATTAATATAATAGTCTAGAAAGTGATAAACTTGTATTAAAAACAATTTCTCAATTAAACTAAATTGTGTAACAAAAATTTACCTCAGTATCTACTAGCGACATCTGGTGAGCAGAAAGTTATTAGCCCTCATTCAAACTCAGTTTTTTTGCTATTATATCGAAAACTATGAGCGATATGGAAAAGTATTTAACATAAAAATTAAAGATCTATTCATTTACTTTAAAAAGTTTAATGGAAAAAGTCATTACAATTATTTGACAAAATACAATAGTAAAAGGTGACAGAGAAAAACAAACTAGGATGTGAGCAGCAACGCCTTCGTAATAAAAACTTTTACTGTCAAGCGTGTGGCAACTATGGCAAATATCGCCCCCTATGAGAGAATAAATGAGCCTATGTTATTTTGTCCGAGATGTTGTAATGATAATGTTGCAAGTAGAATACCAAGCCGGCAAAATACAATAATAACGCAATGGATCCGTTTAAACTTTAAACCGTTTCATGAAAATGAAGTAAGTACATTTTACCAACGGGATCATTTCCATATTAATATTGAGATTCACGCGTTTGGTCGGTTCTATTGTAAATTCGACAATAAAAAACGTACATCAAAAAATAATACTACCGAATTGTGTACCATCTTAAAGAAAGTTCATTTACACGGAATACTGTCTTGGATATTTTTTTTTATAGGATCGAGTGACAAAAGAGCACGGAGTCCGCCGAATGGTAAGTGTTTGCTGTGGCCCATACACATCTACATCTATCCTCGTTTGCGAATCAAAATGCAGATGCGTTGTCACTCGTGAGGACTAAGATGGAATGCCTCTTATCCCGTAAAAAGGGTCTCCGGTTCTCTACACTCACCATACGAAACACAGCAGTGTTAAGCTGCTATTTTACGCTGGTATTCTGTGAGAGCGTGGTCCTTCCCCGGTGTAGCCGATCCATTCGTGCTACAACTATACAACAAATATAGCTGCAGCTTGGCTCTACCACGTACCCCTAACCCCTAAAAAAATAAAAAAAAGATAGATAGGACTAGTACCTACAATTCAAGTGAAGCGGAAACCAAGCTAAAACCATGATTTTGGAGGAACACGCACTTACGCTCACATCATATACATCAAAAAATGATTTGCAACGGACAATACGGTTTTAGGTACATATGTGTGCATCCAGCGGTTGACTTTTACAGGTTGATAAAGACAGAAAGAAGAAAGGTGTGTGGGTGAGTGAGTGTCAACACGTTGAGCATGTTTTCGGCGTCAGTTGATAAGTATGTCATGCATATCTATCTATCTTTGTTCTATCTATCTTTCTTTAATAGTTTGAGTAATATAAACTTGCCTGTCTTAGAAACTAAAACGGATGTACGAGTGAAACAGTATTCAACTGTATTCTTCCCGTTTCATCATAAAATCTCAAGTTTGAAGCCGTTGAAACTTAGGGGCAATGCGTTGGCTGTTAATTTCACAGTACGCGAGCAACCTTAATTTGAGCTCTGCTGGCACCGATGAAATTGTAAATTACAGTTTTAAGCGCTGATTTACTGAGCGCTCAGCGTTGCAGGAAAGATCAATAGTAATTGAATTAAAATTTCAGCAACAAACATGTTTTGAGAATATATGAAGTCCACTTCCGCGCATTGGAACGGTGAAGCGGACCAATGAGGGCTAAAAATAATAAAAAAAAAACAGACGGCGCTGTTGAACGAGGTGATCGAGGTTACGCAATGTCATTGTACTTAAGAAATTGCGTATTAAATAAAAGTTTATCGGTGTAAAAAGTATGTAAAATACAAACCATGCCTAACTGATTTGCTCTTGAATTTTCCTAAAATAATATCTGTAGTTTGCTTTATTAACTTCTAATGTATACAAATAAATAAAATTGAAGTGTCTGTTTGTAATGTTAAAATAACAGCTATTTAATAAATGCATATGAAAGTATATACGATACTTATAACAAAAACACAATTTTTAAAATGTTTGTCTGCCTGTCTGTCTGTTTGTTCTGGCTAATCTCCGAAATGGCTGGACCGATTTCGACGGGACTTTCACTGGCAGATAGCTGATATTATAAGGAGTAACTTAGGCTTCTTATACATAAAAAACGAATTAGGGTTCCGCGCAACATAATTAAAACCCTGAAATACACGCGGGCGAAGTCGCGGGGAACAGCTAGTTGTAATTAATATCAAATATCACAAATATTTCACAAAGGAACATTAATAAGAAAAAAACATTTACATTTTTCGAACAAATTAACTTCCCCCTCTGTGAAATAACCTTCTCACATATAAGAGAAGTACGTGAAGTCGTTGTAACTTAGGGGTTCACCGCTCACCGTAAATTACACAATAAGTGGGCAACTTTAATTTTATCTCTGCTAGCAGCAATGAAATTGGTAATTACAGTTTTAAACGCTGAATTACTACGTGCTCGAAGGTGGAAAAAACCGGCACGTCTAAGCAAAAAGACTGTTTTGAGAATATGTGAAATTCACAATCACCCGATAGAACAGTGCTGTGGACCAATTGCAATATAACTCTCTCACAAATAAGAGGCGTCCGATCAAGACTGGGTCATATACATATTTTTACGTGGTAGAGCCATGCTGCAGCTATATTAATAGTATAGCTGTAGCACAAATGGGTCGGCTCGACCGGGGAGGGACCACGCTGTCGCAGAATACCAGCGTAAAATAGCAGCTAAATGCTGCTGTGTTTTGTATGGTGAGTGTAGAGAACTGGAGACCTATTTTACTGGAAAAGACGCATTCTATCTTAGTCCTCACGGCTAACAACGCATCTGCATTTTAATTCGAATTATAAACGAATATAGATGTAGATGTCTATGGGCCACAGCAACCACTTACCATCAGGTGGACTCGGTTGTCACCCTAATTCTATAAAAAAAATATACAGACTAACTTACCGGCCCCGCAAATGTTGTTCTGCCCTTTATGCTAGGCAGTAATGGTGGATAATAAGTTTCACTTAAAATTCATTCCGGAGTTTTTAAACTATAAATATAAAACTTATTAATAAGTCAGTCAGTCAGTAAGTTAGTAAGTATAACTTTATAATAAGCGCTACATATCGGGTCCAGATTTTTTTTAGAATAAGGGTGACAAACGAGCACACAATCCAGCTGATGATAAGTGAATGCTGTGAACCATAGACATTTACATTTTTATCGTTAATTAAGAATCTAAAATCCAGATGTGTTGTCAACCCTGAGGACCGTGATGGCGTGCCCCATTTACGGTAAAAAGGGTGCCCGGTTCCCCACTCCCATACTCACCATATACTACAAAATATAGACCTTTACTTCATCTAATAAAATCCGCGATACCATATGCCAATTTCTAATACATAAAACATAATAAGGTATTTTGTCACAAAAAATTATTGAAAATTAAAATGTGATTTATGAGCGTTATTATTAGGCATAGCATAGCATATTAATTATTACGAATTAAAGTCATCAAGTCATCATCAAGACAATTTTATGTAGATAAACTTTACTCCTTATAGCATGTTATTTGGATGTATAGTTTAAGAAATAATGAAAAATTAAAATAATTCAAGACTCGACTTGGCGCGCGAATGACGCATAAACCCTCGCTGTGCGATGAGAACCGAGAGAAAGCAGCAGTGAACGCTTCTATGACCGAGGTTAGTTCAATGGAGAGTTTTTAAATTACTGATGAAAACTTTTTGTAGGACTATAGCTCATAATTGACATTTTTTGTTATTAACTGGCATGGTATATAATATTGTTTAATTTAATTTTCTTTATTTGTTAAATATAATTTTTTTTTATAATTGTCAAAATATAATTGTAAAAGCGTCAGTAGTAGTAATGGCAGGGCGCGGACCGCGAATTCGAAAGGTGGTGGGTTCGAATCCGCCATTCGACTACTGTCGTGAACCACTTCTAACACAAGCATTTTATGCTTACCAGAAGTGGTTAAAGGGAATATTAGTAATGTTTAATAACATTACTAGTATTTAAAAAAAAAATTGTACGTTTGAAACTTTAGGATATGATTGGATGGATTGTTTGTTGTCGCTAATTTATGATTTAATAATGATTGATCTTGATGTGTTAATTTTGTATAATTTTATAAATTCTAAGAATAAATAAATTTGCATGTCTCCATTAGGGACTTAGTATGTAGGTATACATAGTATTTAACAATATCTTATGTAACATACATACTAAAAAGCAAATAAATAAATAAATCACTTTAGCTAAAAAATTGGCAAAACTAATGCATTGCTCTTATTTTTCTGAATATGTATGTTATAGAGCGAAGTCAAATTTTATCCACTATCCTCTTCTCTCTTCTCCTGGGTGAGCGTCACTCCGCTGCGCCCCAGAAAGTGTCCTTAAGCGCGGTTGTTTTTCAGTTTTAAAGAAAACCATAAATTATACATGAAAAGTGCGTAGGAACAAAATAATCCTTGATAAATTTGATGTAAACATTTTTTACATATAAAAGCTAACGCGGGATGGGGAAGGAGAGTGGATAAAATTTAATTTCATACATATGCCGATAGATAAAGGTCTCCGTTAATTTTGCTAATATTTCCATACATTGCTATCTAAAATGCTTGTACTAGGTGTCACGCGGCTTAAGGAAGGAAAGACATATAATAAATTACTATAGCGTTAAATACATATGGTATATAAGTTTGACCCCTTACACTATACTTACGTTGATACTGCGTAATCGCAAAACTACAAACACTACACTTACCTGCTCTTTGTCTTCTTGCGATTTCGGCCACAAAGTGACGTTCAGAACAATCTCCCCCATATCTTGGTTCGGTTTGTTGGGATCTCGAAGACAGAGGACTAGGTCTTGAGTGCGACCTAGTTCTAATGCTGTGAGGTCGAGGTGACAGGAACCCATGAAGTCGTCTTGCAGACCCCAATCGTAGTCGAACACCTGAAAATCATAAAATCCGATATCATAGTGTTTTTACGTTTTCAAGAATGTTCTTATATGCCGAGTCAAAAATAATTTATCTGTGGAGATATTAATAAAATTTAAAAAGTAAAAATCCGTTAAGCACTACAAAATGGTCATCGAAAATAGCTCAAAGGTAATGACAACCAAACACATTTATAAAGAACGACTCTAGCCGGAGACTAGTCTAGATAAGAAAGCCATCATTATATTATATCATTACAGCCTTTTAAAGTTCACGGCTGAACATAGGCGTCCGTCATAGATTGCCATGGTGGGAAAATTACCATAGTTGCCACGCTTGGCAGGCTGCTGCCAATCTCTTGGTTTGTTTCCTTTTGTCGTTTCTTACGTTATCCACGAAACTATATGGGGTACCGGATAGTCTTACACCGCCAATATACGGTTCAAAAAATGATTAAGTATATACAGAAAGGTATTCACATACCTTTCTGTATATACTATGTAATGATATTAATAAAGTAGTGTGTGTGTAAAGACCTTAATTTCAAAACGTTCAAAACCACAGTGTTTCTAATTTTAACAAAAGTAGCCAGTAAGAACTATATCGTGTGAGTATCATTTTTAGATTTTACTCATCATTTAAAAAGTTAAGGCAGGATGTTGCTTTTCTTTCTAAAATAATAATAATTATTATAAAAATACATTAATACTCCACATAGAAATAACATTTATTTCCTTTTGAACAGTATTTCCTAAAGTTACAACTCGTACATGACAAGTTACAAAAAGTAACTAGGTATGTCGCCGAGAGACTGTTAATTCTTTAAAACGCTTTCCTCCCAAAACCTGATACCGGGAGCCACAGCCCCCTGCTCTCTCCCCTTCTAGCTTTGCCACTGATATTCTCTACCGGTCAAGCACATGGAGAGATGATCGTATTATATTTTAACATCATAAATAGAATGATGATGAGTAGAAAGAAGCAATGATGAAGTCGTCGGCAACAATCACAAAAACGATAAAAGATTTACCATTTAATTTAAGCTAACGATTAACCCTGATCGAATTTACCCCTTTGCAACAAAGTTATATTATTAAGGTTGACTGTGGATTTAACGTTCGGGACTGAGATATTTTCGAATATTTTCGGCGCCATAAAATTGTTTGTATTAGTTATTTTAAACGTGTTTTGTTTAAACAACGTTATAACTAACGGCCTTACTTATAATCGTTGATTACCTACTTTTTTACTTTTTATAAGCAAGTGCTTGACCACAATCGCACTGTCTTAGCGTAACAAAAGCCTATTCACTCTTTCCTTTTTGACTTGAAGACGCTCAGATTGTATTAGGACGAAAATATAGACTTCGTCAAATATTTATTTAGTTAAGGATAGCCAAAGGTAATTACAATAATACCTACGGATTCACAAACTTAACTTTAAATAAAAACCTATTACAGGAATCCAAAATATGTTTCACAAAAGAGCAAAACTTTTTTATTTTTTTTTAGGATAAGGGTCACCCTTAATAGTGATAAATGAGGACACAGTTCACCTGATGGTAAGTGATTTCTGTAGCTCATAGACATCTACATCTATCCTCGATTACGATTCAAAATGCAGATGTGTTGTCACCCGTGAGGATTAAGATGGAATGCCTCTTTTCCAGTAAAATGGGTCTCCGGTTCTTTATACCCACCAAACGAAACACAGCAGCGTTAAGCTGCTATTTTACGCTGGTATTCTGTGAGAGCGTGGTCCTTCCCCGGTCGAGCGGACCCACTCGTGCTACAACTGTACTACTAATATATCTGTAGCATGGCTCTACCTGGTTGTTTTTACGATGTTCATAATGTGAGAACGAGCACCTTTATTAATATATTTTAATCATTAGTGACAGTCCCGTACCGGTAAGCGAAAGTTTAGGTCTACCCCCACTATATGGAGTGGTGTGTAAAGAAAATCTGGCAAGAGATGCGGGAATTCGATGAACCTTTGTGTCATTTCTTGGGGAGGTCTAAGTTCAGCAGTGGACTTGTGATGGGTGGTAAAGATAAATGAAGATGATAATTTTTATACCACTCTAAAACGTGAGCACAATTATATTAAGCAAACAAATAATGAATTAGCCTGTAGCTTTAATTATGTTTTGCAATAAGCATTATTGTACAAAGTCCAAACGAAAACTATAACGTATACGTGGTAGTGCCATGCTGCAGCTATATCAGTAGTATAGTTGAAGCACGAATGGGTCGGCTCGACCGGGGAAGGACCACGCCCTCACAGAATACCAGCGTAAAATAGTAGCTCAATACTGTCGTGTTTCATATGGTGAGTGTTACGAACGGGAGACCCATTTTACTGGACGCCTCGTCATTCTATCTTAGTCCTCACGGGTGACAACGTATCTGCATTTTGATTCGTAGTTGGATGGATGTAGATATCTATTGGTCACAGCAACTACTTACCATCAGGTGAACTGTGTGCTCGTTTGTCACCCTAATCCTATAAAAAAACGCCGTATGTTGAAGAAAAATAACAAATAATTTCGACAACGACTTGAAAAAATGACTTAATTTTTTACATTCTTTCGAATCTCAAGCGAGAAAAAGAATTTTAGGAATATTTTCAATTATAAAAGCAATTAGTCGTGAAGTTTGTTTCGCGAAATCATAAAATTTTCGCGATATAAACGCGTCTATATTTAACTAACTTTTGAAAATTGTTTTCATTTCAACTTCCATAATTGTCGTACTGAGAGTAAAGTTATTTCAGTAGATTATACTTTTTATTCATATTTTGCTAGTTTATACTTTGCTAATTTTCACGATTTTAAGAATAATCACTTAAATAATCTCTTCCTGAACTTTACCTTTTTTATAGGATAGGGGTGACAAGCGAGCACTCAGTCCACCTGATGGTAAGTGATTTTTGTGACCTATAGACATCTACATCTATCCTCAATAAAGAATCAAAATGCAGATGCGTTGTCATTGGTCTAAGGTGGAATGCCTCTTTTCCAGTAAAAAGGATCTCCGGATCTCTACACTCACCATACGAAACACAGCATCATTAAGCTGCTATTTTACGCTGGTAGTCTGTGAGACCGTGGTCCTTTCCCGGTCGAACCGACACATTCGTGCTACAAGTATACAAATACAATTAGTATTGCTGCATAGCTCTACCACGTTTATGCAGTCTTATGCGGTCATTTACATAGTGTGTTATTTTTTTAGTTGTCATCGGCGTTATCGCTTATATTTGGCGGTATTCATTATTCAGCATAAACAAAGTCCATTATTTTGCATAAGCCCTTATCAATTTATCATAATTATCACAATTCTCCGGCAAACTTTTGTATTTATCATATGCTGTCCTTTACATAAATTTGTAATTTAGACTTGGATTATCAGATAATTGGAGATATTATGAGAAAGAAACGGGATATATGGTAAAAGATATGGTGAAAGAATGCACAAACATGTTAAAAACGTCTGGTTTTGAACGTATTAGCTGTACATAATATTATAAATGTATATGTCACAGTCAAAACTCATAATCGGTCAAAACCACTTTTGACTTCAAAAATCAGGCAAAACTGTTTATGACCGATGCCCTTAGTCAAAAACAGTTTTGAATAATTTTTGTAGTCAAAAGTGGTTTTAACCAACGTTCTTATTCAAAAGTGTTGTTGTCTGATTTAAACTTCAGACTATCGTTCAAAACTTGCAATATCAGTAACAGTAGGTTACAGTGCGGCTGGGGTGGCCCTTGGGCCACCCTGAAGCCAAGTACATTATAATTATATGAGATATAATATTGAAGAAATTAAACTTTTTAATTTCAGAAATTCAAAAAGTATGTCATAATTAAAAAAAATATGCGTGATTATCATGGAACACTCGGTTGGAACGAAGTTCCTTTCGTTGTATATTATTATTGATATGCGTATTATATTATTGATTAAAAATACAAATAAATTAATTACTACCTTCTATTAAAATGAAGCGTCATTTGAAATAAAATAATATTTCTTTCATGAGGAGATAAGAAAAAGTGCGAGGGAGATGGATATTATTCCATCTCACTTCTTTATTTCGCCGCCAAAGCCGTCTACACTATAACACAAGGGGTAGTGACGAAAAAATCTTACACTTTTTGTCGCCTAGCTCCCATCCGCCAAACCCGTACCGTACGACAAGTAACTTCGTTCGAAAAATTAAAAATTTTGTGCAACCGACTTCATTCTAAATTATTAAGAATAACTCTAAAACTATTGGTCAGAGCTTGGTCAAACTTATATAGGCCCATATTTGAAGCAGCAGCTTTCAAATAAAAAAAAACATCGAAATCGATTTACCTAGAAAAAAGTTATGAGGTAACACACATAAAACAAAATACAGTCGAATAGAGTAACGGTAGAAGTCGGTGAAAAGAAGTTTTGACTAATATTGTTGGTCAAAACCACTTTCAACCGATGTAATTTGGTCAAAATCACTATTACCCAGTATTTTAGCAGTTAAAAGTGGATTTGACCAACGGCGTAAGTTAAAACTACTTTTTGCTGATTTTTTACAGTCTAAAGTGGTTTTGACCGGTTATGAGTTTTGACTGTAACATATACATGTAAATAAAATTGAAGTGTCTTTCTGTAATATGAAAACAACTGCATTTTAGTAAACAGAGGGAATTTTTTTTTATAGAATATGGGTGACAAACGAACGCACAGTCCACCTGGTGGTAAGTGGTTGCTGTGGCCCATAGACATCTATCCGCAAATCAAAATGCAGATGCCTTGTCACCCGTGAGGACTAAGATGGAATGCCTCTTTTCCAGTAAAAATGGTCTCCGGTTCTCTACACTCACCATACGAAACACAGCAGTGTTAAGCTGTTATTTTACACTGGTATTCTGTGAGGGCGTGGTCCTTCCCCGGTCGACCCGACCCATTCGTGCTACAACTATACTAATAATATAGCTGCGGCATGGCTCTACCACGTAAAAAAAATCTATATATGAAAAATCTTACGCTACCTTAAGCTGTATCGGAACAAACGGGTCCTCGATCGGTACCGTGAAACACTCGTCCCAAACTGGATTGAGGTCCCTGTGCACGATCTTCGATTTGTGAAGCAGTCTGCCCCCAGCCTTGAACTTCACGTAGGGGTCACTGGTGCCTGACAACAAACCTGGTTTTCGACCCCACAAAACATACTATTAGAAGATAAGAAGCCAAAATAAACGGAAACATTAAGCAGTAATTTAGAATTTCACTATACAGATTTAATTAATTAAGTAGGTTGATTATTGATTAAATTCTGTATTTTTTAATATTTTTAAATAAAATATTACTTCATTAAATGCATTGTGTAGCTGCATTATAAATAATGTTGTATAAATATTTTGTCAATTTTCAAGAAGGAGTTTTTTTATTCAAATATGCGTGAGTATTTTAGGTCTTTTTTGGTCTTATGATTAGTCCATGAAGGCCAATAGGAAAATATTAATGATTTATTGCCAGATCAATTTGTTTTAAAAACTCGTCATCAATATGCAGAAGAGCGCTAAACTACGAAAGCAAAAGCACTAACTACGATAAATGCAAATAAATTTGTAATGTGCAAAGTAAAAACAAAATTAGGAATATAAATATATGAATATTTTATCATCATCAACTTCTCCTTCCTGTTCTAATTTCAAGTTATTTGGGGTCGGGTATACTCGTATCATTCATCATCATCACCATTACAGCCTATAAAAGTTCACTGCTGAACATAGGCCTACCTCATAGATTGACTCATAGGAACGATATTTGGTATAGCTGCCACGTTTGGCAGACGGATTGGCGACCGCAGTTTTTTTATTATTTTAAGTTGTCAAGAAGATGCTACCGCCAATCTCCTATTTCATTTCCTTCTGTCGTCTCTTACGACACCCGCGTGATGATATGTGTATAAATAATTTAGTATAATATTAAATTGTGTGTTATTAAATAGGTACGTGTGTATCATAGTGTGAGTTACAGAGGTGAAGTTTAGCGTGTTGAATAACATACACAAAACATATTATAAGTACCTAAATTATACATTACGTATCTAATCTAAAAATATATTACATCTAAAATTGAATTCGGAAAAGGTTACCGGTATTACGTTAAAACAAATTGCTGTGCGGCTGTTGTAGCGATATAAAAAAGAAATCATATTAGCAAGGATATAGGCTAAATCTCTCCGACGTTTAATGGTGAAATGTTTTGTTAACGATAACACGAGACATTTCCACACTAACTCTTTTATCCTCAGATTTTTATTATATTTTCGAAACGAAATGAAAATTAATTTCCTTCCTAGTATCTGGCTCAAATTACAAGCTGTGCTTATAATAAAAAAAAGCAGATTTTGTTTTTAATCTAAATAAAGAGCTATAGTTTCTTTTAAATAATGTTTAGTGCCAGCCAGTGAGTCTTTGTTGAGTGTTCTGGTTCTGTGATAGATGAAGTGCGGTAAGATACTTACCGTTTTTATCCATAGCTATTAGGTTTTGGCCCCTCTTCAGATGTATCCTTAGTTGGAAGAATGCAAATTGTCTAAGTTGTTGTTCCCTCAGTCTTTGACCTTCATCTGGTTCCTGAAAAAATGAATTTATTTTATTGTATTTTTAGCGTTTAATTTAATACAGCAAGAGATTATAACAACTACGTGAAGTTTATCTAGATGGTAAGGAACCTATTAGCTTAGGAGTCCGTTAATGGTACCATTCTTTTTTTTTTTCATTTATTCAAAATATTAAAAAAACAAAATGAATTTTTTTAGCCTTACAGCAGAAACCACACACGGTTTAGTTGCTGTGGTCTATTAACTATTAATTATAAACTATAATCTTATATTAAAACTATTATTGATAATAATGGTAGATTTATATATTTATTAAGTATATTATTAATATGTAAATATGAGATAAATCAGGTATAAACACATTAGATCAGGCAATTTACAGTAATTATGTTGTCATTTAAGATACTATTAATATATTATAGTAACTTATAATAATACAACATACACATATCATATCGGCCATCTAGTTATTTAATTAGAAACTTTTTTAGTGTTCTTTTAGCTATATTTAATTTATAATATTTTACTTTATTTAAGATAGTGAGAGGAAGTTCGTTGAGTAAAGAGAGGAACAGGTATTCCCATGTGCGCTTACCATAAATACCAACTTCTCAAGTTTTATCAGGTGACTTAGATTTGTGTTGTCTGGCGTAATGATAACGAAAGACCATAATATACTATATAATATGTTTGTTTTAATTTCTTCAGTTGTTAACAACAGAGGTTAAAATCGATCGCTTATTACAGTGATGAAATTTTTTATTTGTTTAATTATTATTTTATTAATAAAGAAAACAGATAACAGACAATACATGTCAATGTTAAAATTACAAATATTATTATAACTTGTCTATAATCCAATAGTGTGCACAAAAAATATGGCAACTAGTAAATATTAAAAACTTTTAAATATAAAATATGAAAGTGTCAATGATAATCACTCTTTGCACTCTTCCTCCCTTTTTCAGAAATCCTTTACTTTAAGGCCTTAACAGTGGTTGAAATGCCTAAATCTAGAATATTTAAGTAAAAAAATCTCAATAACTGTTCATTTAATCCACAAAGAAAAAATACAGGGTAACAGAAGAAGATTTGGTGAATGTTTTTAATTTAACAAAATTGTATTTTTGTCAACCCCTTATTAGAAAAAAAATCCCCAAAGAGTACCTATCTTTGTCATATTTTGCAAAATTTCTCCAAAACGGCACAAGCTTTTTAAATAGTTCTTACACTAAAAAAAAGGTCTTAAAAATATTAATATTTTTAATTGAGAGTTTTATTTTTATTACCCGTTTTATAAGAGAATATATCAGTTTTCCATAAAATTGAATATATTTACGCGAGCGCGCATGCTCCGTCGACATGTAAGCTCTGTCACAGTCCGTTTTCGGACATCGTCGAGGGTGGACTGCACGTCGGTGTTAGAGCGACTTCGTTTAAATATATATTAGTTTTTTAAAAGTTTATACTTAATTATAAATATTTTTATGACTAGAAATACTTAATTTAGTTAATATCTGTACACTGGTAACTGTAAATATTATTTTATAAATAAATGAATTTTTAAAGTGCCCAAAGAAGAAGAAATTTTTGCGGCGACGTTGATTAGTGAAATTGAAAAATGCATTTTTATATAATTTAGATGTGGAACGACGAACATGCTTACTCTCGTTACTTAGATTGCGATAGTTTTTAATACCTATGTAATTTTATTTTTGCATATTTTTATTAATTAGTTGATAATGAATTTTATAATTATGTATTACAATAAAACGCTGTTTTTATAAGTATGACTTTATAAAATATTATTGGGGAAAGAAATAAAGATACAGATACTTACATTTAGGTACACTGTTATCAAATTAAATCAAACAATTTAAATGAATAAAAGAATGGTGCTTACCTAAGTATAAATAACTATATAAAGACATTCTTGGGTTTATGGTTTTTTTTTTTGTTAGACAAACTATAATCTAAAAAATGTATAAATTTTAAATTGGAGACGGGTTTCTCTACGTGATAAAGTTAGAAATGAAGGTATTTGCATTAGAACCAGAGTAACTGACATAGCTCAACGGAATATTACAGTGAAATGGCAATGGGCTAGCTATATAACTTGGAAAACAGATAAAAAATAGGAAGAAAGGTCCTCGAGTGGCAACCTCGTACAGGTAAGCGAATTAGTACTTAACCTTTATTCCTCTTCACGTATTCTCATACGCTTTTCTTCACACATACACACGCACACGCGCGCAAGCACGCACGCACACACACACAAATAGGTCGCAAATAATACTTACCTAGTACTATTAGGCAAGAGTGAATAGGTTTTTGTTAAGTCAGTGCAATTCACCATCTTAGACTACATAACCACTTACCGATGGGATTGTAGTTGCTTTACTACTTGCTGGGTAAAAATAGTAAAAAAAAATTTACCCTGTGAAAGTTTGCATTTAGATATAATTTTTCTAACCAACCATAAAAATATTATGAGAATATGTATATAAGTATAAAGGTTGCCTCACATGGGACAGTAATAATATAATATTATATATTCCATTATCTCTGAAATCCGAGGTACGTTCATATTAAGAGGCTGAATAGAGCAACATTGAAATGCATGGGGATGGTTTTGTAATTTCACGTCATTATCGAAAAAAAATTGTACGTATTTCAGGTGGCGGTTTGCAAAACACGATTCCACAAAAATTAACTCAATAGAAAATAATTGCAAAGTTGCTTCTAAAAATACTTAAATTTTCAACGTCAATTTTTTTTTACGTGGTATAGCCATGCTACAGCTATATTTATTAGGTATAGTTGTAGCACGAATGGGTCGGCTCGACCGGGGAAGGGCCACGCTCTCACGAAATAACATGTAAAATAGCAGTTTAACCCTGCTGTGATTTTACTTTATAGGTTAAATAATTTATTTAACTTTTTATATAAAGAACCGTTTTTCTGTCACTCCTATTGAATTTGACAGTGCTTGCTGAAATTTAGCATTTTTAGATGGATCAGAATCACCCGCTGATCCGGCTGTTAGATATTGCAAAAATAATCGAAAGTATTTATTTTTACTTTCATGCCCAAGACTACCTTGTTTTATTTTATTACGGTCAAATAATATTTATTAGGTTATAAAGCAAGTATTTATGTAAATGATTTGTATGTAAATGTAAATGTTTTCATTATTTTGTTATTCTATTGTTTACAGTTATTATCACGTCTTAGCTTTACACCAAGAATTACATTAGAAATTCTTGATGGGATGCGATGTAACGCGCATACATTATTTTCATCAAGAACTATAATATATATATATATTTGTTTTTTTTACCAGTAGAGTTTCAACAAAATCTTAAAAAAGTTCAATGAATTAGAAAAATGCCAATAATTATATAATTTCAAGTCAGTGTTTTACATTTAAAGATCAGTTATAAAGAGCCAATGATATTATTTTCATTTATATTAATTTAATTCGAGACTAAAATAAATGTGAATAATAATTTTCATCAAAAATAACATAGACTTATAAAAGTCATATACACGGTCAATCATACTGAAGATTATCAATTGTACTACAAAATATTTAAAAGACTCTTTCCAGTATAATGACCCGAATATCATCATTAATGTTTGACTGGCACACTTAAAAGTTTTATCACATGGCTAAATGATTGACTTTTATATTATGATAAGGTCATGTTTTTCTATAAAAAGTTGCAAGAAATTTTAATTCCCGGCCCTATTGGTTTGTTTTACTTTTTACTTAATTAGTGAAAAACAAAATGGACTAATCTAAAAGTTTACTTTCTTGTGTAAAAAGTGCTATTTAGAATTTTATTCAAATGATAATTAAAGTTTCTATGTAAATAAGTGTAATATAGCGGAAATTATATTCAATAGTAGCGGCCATCCGTATTTGCAAAGCCAGCATCATTTTCTGTACAGGAACCGGCAAAGTGTCGCTCAAGGCACTATAAACAAAGCAGCTGATAAAATGTTACACTCATAACTGTTAACAAAAACTGTTTTCGCAAATGGTCTTATAGATAATAATAACTATTCCGCCGTGTTAGGTGCAGGAGCTATTATTAGAAGGAGAAGAGGTAAAATTTTGTTTTAGAAATGCGCAATCAATATTGTTTTGTCTGCAATTGAGCATAAAATAAAAAATAACATCAGCCAAAGAGCATAACTGGCATTATACTCAGGCCCATCAATTGGTATGGAAAAAAATAATTTTACCAGGTTTCAAAAAATCAATCAAAATTCAAAAAACATAAAAATTAATGATTTATGGCCGCTTAGTAACTGACGGTGACTCACTATAACATCCTTCAGTCACGCCGAAACTAAGAGGAGAGAATCACTGTAGAAAAGGTAATAATTTATTGCGGAAATTTTGTGATTAAAATTAAAAATTTAATGAAAGTTAAAAAAAATATAAACTTATTCAAATTAATCTAACTTAATCTAACTTATCCTTATGCGTACAAAAAAACACAAATAATAAAATAGTGAGATGGCGTCAGTTTTTAAGAAGATATAACAAAAATAAACAAAAAAATAAATTTCAATAAAGTTCAGTATTTAATTGATTATATACCGCTGACACTTAATCACGCTTTTCGAAACCACGCCAGTTGTAAACAATACTTGTGTGAAAAGACAAAATCTTCTTTTCAAATTTCCGCCGAGTTGTAAGTAGAAGGCCAAATATGTCACGTGTCAATTTTAATTAAATATATTTTATATGAAGTGATCTTGACTACGTTTCATCAATTAACCATTGGTAAAAATTAAAACAGGAATTTTACGATTGTGTTTACAAAAAACATTATTAGTTGAACCTTGCAGCTTGTTCATTATTTTTATTATAAATACCTATAAATGTATATATTATTCATAAATAGTTCCCACAATATATTGGATTATTTATTATTTTGCCCTATCTGCAATGTTCTACGCTCTATAGAAAATGTGGCGTATGACGTGACTGACAATCTT